CTTATTTTTTTCTAACAATTATATAAATATCATTTGATTGGTCGTATACAAATACAAAATTTAAATGAAAATTAATTTGAATATATTATTTTTAATGACTTTTACGTACGTCTAGTTGCGTTTTAAAAGCTTCTGGAGCACCCATTTTATGATAAGCTTGGGGTATCAGAGGCCTTCTAAATGTTGATTCTTTTGTCGATGGTATCCTCGAGGAAATTACAGTTTCATTACTGCCAGATACATTGTCATATCCCTGAGGACATTACAAAACCAGTTTATTACATTTTATCAAGATTTTATGCAATTATTATAAAATATTAATTATTTATTTAATACTTTGCTGGTGCCATAGCTATGTTTAGCTATTGACAATAATTTTTGTAGAGCTAAGCTTAAGCTGTTATCTTGTAAAGTTTCAATAGTGCTCGTTTTTTCATTCGATGTCTCACGTATTGGCGATTCCCACCAATATTCCAATACTATTTTTGAGTCTCTCCCAAACTACGAACGAATACAATTCTTTTACATATAATCTTCTTATATATTAATATGAATTCTTACCATTAAAAATAGATCTCCAACTGTAATTGTGTTTGCTTCCTCGACATTCCAGCCCAGGCGAATTCTATCAACAGTCTCTCTACCGGGAAAGCCACCGGATCCCGCTGGTTGTTCCATCAATGATTTTTCAACATTATTTGAAAGAGATATTTTCTCCGATGTAGGAGCTACGCTTGATTCCGAAAAATCTATATCACTATTATCTGGCACATCATCAGATCGATTACCCAGTCTTTTATCTCCTTTATATCTCTTTATACCTTTTTTTCCAACACCTTTTAAATATTGCATTGTTCCCAGTAATTCAATTCTGGAACTCTTCAGTCCCAGGCGATTTTCATAAGAATTTAAGCTCACGCTATTACTTGTTAAATATTCTCCGAGATTCACAACTGGTAATGTAATTTTACAGCCTTCAGGAGGGGCAACACGTAATAATCGCGTGCCTTTAACATCAGCATTCGAAATATTTTCAATATCTGTAGACTATATTTTAATGTAAGGCAAAATACCTAAACTAATTTTTATTAATTCAAAGAATTAAGCATTTCAAGGATACAGTTTTTGCTTTCCACGGTCTCCATCGTTGCTGTAAAAATGATAATATACTGGATAGTCGTCGTTGAATTGGAACAAGAATTCGAACTCTTGGGTTCATTGCTAACGCTTGAACATGCCACCAAGTCACATTATTTCCCGGGCGTAATTCCATTGTTACTCTTGATGGAAGCTTAATATCTTCCTGCCAACCTGTTTAACACAAAATGCATTGATGTCTCACATTTTCACAACATCATTCATTGTGTCTAAATCTTTCGATTTATAATTAATTACCTTCTAATTGATTTAATTTTCTAAGGGCTCTACATATAGGTGTTTTAATTCTCATTGTTTTGCCTCTCAAGCGAACCTGTGTCGATCCCCAATACACCAATTCATTTAATTTCATTTGAACTTTTTCATGCATTCTTGGTAACTTTCTCCTCAATTCTCCATAATTAATTAAACCATATAATTCTTGCGATGTCTTTTTTACATCTAAATAAATATTTGAAATGAATAGTTTGTAAATTTGTAAATAATTATTTTTTCAATACTAACTAACCTTCTGAAAACTTTAAATGTTTTGATATTTTTAACCAGGTGCGATAATAAAAATGCCTTATTTGTTCCTTGTTTTTTATCATTTTTTCTGGTAAACCTTTTTTCTTCCCTTGAATTAGAAAATAACTTTGCAGAGCATCGAAATCTTTACCAAATTCATTAACAGCTTTAAAAAATGTGTTTTTGTCTTCCATAGACCATAATTCGCACGATCTTTTGAGCGACCTCATGATTTTTGCTTCTGCCTCTGGATCATCTTTTGTCTCTAAATGTATAAAAAAAATGTAATTTATAATTCTTTTATATTATTTGCTTACTGTTTAAATATTAAGACCATACCTTTTTTTTCATTAGAATGGCTAGAGTCAATATCCAACCTCATTCTCTTTGATCCTCGAACAATACGAACGTTTGAATTCTTAAGGTCGGAAGAAACTTTGGTATCGGAGGTCTTACTAGTACTTTGAATCGATATATTTTCTTCTTTCTCATCATTATTTTCTTCTCTTAAAGCACCTGTTTCTTCTAAAATATTCGATTCTTCTTGAACAGTATCAATAGTGGTAGCAGTAACATCAATGTCTATTTCTGTCGAGGCCATTTTTACCCTGAGACTGTAAATATTTTATTAAAAATAATGCGTAAGTCATAGATTTTTAATTATAAATTATTATAAACAAAACTGCTACACGTAAATGAACATATATATATATATATATATATATATATATATATATATATATATATTTAATCGTAGATTTAAAGGCATGCAATAAAATTCGATATGAATTTATAAATATCTCTCGATTAAGGTGTAACCAAGAACTTTATTAAAAACGTACTTTTCGGTTTTATGCACAAGAATTATTTACATAATTTTAGAAATTCATCTTTTTTTTTACAGATAACGACAATCACTGCATATGTAAACATAACCAAACTATTTGATTTATAACAAAGCTTCCTCGCAACGTATAGTTTATCTCTTCTCTTTCTCTCTCTTGCACACCGGAGTGCTTGTTCATACGCCACGATATAATATAAAAACATATTCTTTAATACGTTGTATAATAAAAGCAATTAAAATTTGAATAATTATGGCGATAAAATAATGTCCCGTTGAAATAAATTGAAATAGTAAATTGGAGTAGAACATTACTATGAAGTGCTCTATAATATAAAATTCGCGCCATTCATCTATCGATCTCTGCATGCGCTATGTGCAAGCACGCGAAAAAAAAGGAATAAATATTAAAAAATCATTAGGAGTAAATCATTAGTAAAATCTCTTCTTAAAATATTTTTATTTCAAAATCTTTTTATTAAAATTTCATAGCAAATAGCAGGGTATTATTATTTTTTTAAACGATTATTGTGAGATTTATTGCACCAATCAAGGATTGAACTTAATTGTAATTACAATATACATGTTGCATTAAACAAGCGTTAAGATGAATTCATTGAATTTATAAAAAAAAATTGAGTCAGACGATAACATGCGCGTTAGTTTCGTCATTTAACTTTCAAAAATGTGAAAATTTGCAGATAGCGATAAGGAACGCACAGAAAATAAGCGCATAAAGTACGGGGTAACGCGCATTCATATTACAAGTTAAAAGCAGCTTAAAGCGTTTTTTAATACCTCGACTATTGAAAGAGACAGGAAAATTAAAGAAACGTAAGCAGCAATCAATGGCTCCGAGAATTGCGACACTACATAACCCAATCCGTTCAATAAAAGACCTTTTGTACTTAACGACAAAAGCGTGAAATTACCGATTCGCCACGAATGTTCAACCTTGAAGATCGGCGCGCGCGCAGTGTGAATATACCCGGCAGTCGAATCAACTGTATATACACGGATAATGAACATCTGATTTTCACTGGCCGCTCACGGAGACGTTTGTGCTCTCGTGTGCTTCGCGACGAGGACGAGGACGAGGACGAGGACGAGGACAGCGACAACAACGACAATTCTCTCACCGCTCGTAGTCAGCAGCTACTTGCAATGATTTGGACACACGCGATACACTGTGATAACAAGCCCGGAAATTCTTTCTTTTTTTTTTATATACGCATGCAAATCGCGTTGTGTCTGTACGGCTGTTTCGTAAACCCTATCTGTTGCACGCGCGATTAGAACTAAGGGATATCTAGATCGGCCTTGCTTCATCTCTGACTCCCTCTCTCCCTCCCAGTCTCTCGTTCTCTCTCTCTCTCTCTCTCTCTCTTCTCACTCACTCTCTCTCTCTCTCTCTCTGCTTTAAGATTATGAGACCCAAGGATATGCGTTCCGTGTCACCACATCGACAACGCATGGTAGTCGATTTCGCTGTCTGTTTTAAACATGCGGACGACAACTAATCAGCACGTGGGTCAGTACAGCTTATATCAAAAGTCTCATATATCACCTTTTCCATTTTCATTTCCTACTCATACGCACGACAATTTATACGAGATATCAAATGTAAATGACACTGTGTCGTCAACTTCATCATCTCTTTCCTACGAAGACGGCGAATATAGGTATGCGATAGCTAATACAGTACAAGTGCTTGTACGTACGTGCCCGTTTGAGTGAATTGTAGCCGCTGTCGCCGCTGCCGTTGCCACCACCGCCACCGCCGTCGCCACCGCCGTCACCACCGCCGCCGCAGCCGGAGCCGCCGCCGCCGTTGCTGTCGTCTTGTTTGAGGACCCCGCGCGAGTTTTTCGACACAGTGCGCTAAACACGCGCATACACACATATATCACATGTATGGACATAAGCCTGCGTGACACATATGCATACGCGCACGTACATATACTTACACAAGTAAGCAAGCAGACATAAGTGTATTTAACCTTGACGGGCAGACGTCGTTAGAGGTGAGGGTGCCTGCATATTTATTTTAATTTACCTTATATCTTCTTTACAGCATTATAAGTACCGCCAGTTTCTTAATGCGAAGACAAGTATAATCTTTTGTCTCCCTCTTCCAATGTATTACATGATACATACAAAGCATTAATATATCGCGACACTCGCTTAGCGTCTTTACGCTTCTTTTTCAATTAATATATATTATCTTTCTTCTTTCCTTCTCAAACTTTCTATCTTCATTTCAGAGAATACGTTAGTTCACTTTTCATCTGACGATATTTATTATTAGAACTATTAATGTCTGCGAAATTTTCCAACTTAACGAATCTCTCTCTCTCTCTCTCTCTCTCTCTCTCTCTCTCTCTTTTCCCTCTCTTTCGCTCGTTGGCTCGCTCTCTCTTTCTCTCATTCTTTCCTTTCTCTCTCTCTCTCTCTCTCTCTCTCTCGCTCATCATCTCTCTCTCTTCTTTTTTTCACTATAATTTCCCCTCCGTTTTGGTCGCACTGTTAGGCGCGGGACAGTGGCAGTTCCGTTGAGGAGCTGTTTGGGATTCCCTGCTGTCGCCAGGATAGTATACGAAGCATCGATTGTGACGTGCCCTGGGAATGTTCTTCTCGAGGAATAAACAGAGGGAACGTCGGCAGTGGATTTCATGATACCGCTAGGTTGGGTCGCGCGCGTGTTTTTCATCACCTGCTTAATAGCCGATTTGTGCGAAATTACAGCGCGAGTGCTGTCATCGGCTGCGGAGGCTCGAAGCGCGACGAGTTAACCTAAAATGCAATTAGTTGCGAGTGCCGACCCGATTTTGCTCCAGCTCGTCCTTCACTTGCTTTGCTGGCAATGTGCCAGCGTTTGCGCCGGAGGCGGTGCACTGGACGTAGGTTCCACTTATCAACAGTCTGGAAGTACGCCCGGCACCTCTTCTTCCTCCAAGGCTGCCACTTTTTCGACCAGCATAAGTGACGGCCTTGGCAAGGCTGTCGTTCACGAAGGTAGAGACCGTAAGCACAAGTTTTTCTTTTAAGCCACTTCACTTATAAGTGTTTAGCTTTAGTTTGTCCTTGATTTGTTACCAATACCGTTGCTCTTTATATGTAATTTAATGAGATTGTGCAGTAAGCTAATATTAGCTTGATTAAGCACCTTATAGCCATAACAAAGAAGAAAATGCATTGGTAACAAACAGTCATTGGCTTATTTTTTGGAAAATCACCTTTTTCTGATCCCTGTGAGTAATACAGCTTATTGGTCTACTAATTGTTAGGGACTGAATCTTGCAATGATGATCTGGCATGTATTACCATGGCTTCCAATGATAGATTAGGCTTGGAGGCGATCAAATCCCTTCACAGCCAGTTGGATGATGATGCTAATGGAAATATAGATCTGTCTGAGTCGGATGATGTGAGCATCAGCCAATTTAATCATCATTTATATTTTGAAGTTTTATATTTTCAACTTTTATACCAAAGCACTGCATTTTCTTACAGTTTCTTCGAGAAGAATTGCAATATGAAGCAGGCTATGAACGAAGGCAAAGAGCGTTTCATCATAATGATGATATGCATATTAGCGTTAGAGAGCTTTGGGAAGCTTGGCTTCGCTCCGAGGTACAGACATAATTTTTAAATAACAATACTAATATTCTAATAGTTTCATCGTACTTCGTCGTATAGCTCTTTCAATGTATTTATTACAGGTTCACAATTGGACTATAGAGCAAACATCGGAATGGTTAAGTACAAACGTAGAGCTTCCTCAATATGTTAATACTTTTATACAGCATAGAGTTACTGGAGCTACGCTTCCAAGGTGCAAATGCAATTTATAACTTTATAATAAAATTATTTTACTTTGTATTTCAACATTGGGATTTGTATGTAAATTTTTCATTTTGGATTGTAGATTAGCGGTTAACAATATGCATTACGTTAGCAATGTATTAGGTATTAAAGATCCAATACACAAACAAAAAATTGCTTTGAAAGCAATGGATGTTGTTCTTTTTGGACCTCCAAAGGGTGATTTTCTTTTTAAAATTCGAAAAATAAATTTGTAATGAATTTATTAAAATTTATTGATATCAATATTTAGATACCGGGCATAGTATAAAAGACCTTATTTTAATTACATTATTATTTGGAGCACTGATTGGGTGTTGGTATGCTTATCAACAGAAAAAAAGTTCTCAAAAAGATCTTTATAGAATGATGAAAGACATGGAAAGTCTTCACAAAGCAGAACTAGAACTTAAAAGTTTGCAAAAGGAATTTGAAATTGTAAAAATGGAGCAAGAAAGTGCAACAACGGAAAAGCAAAATTTAGAGAAACGTTTAAGAGATGAAAGTATGGGCTTGCATGCGTCATCATCTGATCTTGAAGTTTCTCAATTAAAGGCAGAAATTGAAGTGAGTCATACGTTCATATCATCATGATTATCATCATTATCAGTATTATTATTATTATTATTATTATCATTATTATCATCATTATTATTATTATTATTATTATTATTATTGTTATTATTATTATTATTATTATTATTATCAACTAAATAATAAAGTATGTTTTATAAATACTACCTTTATAGATGTTAAAATTAGAATTACAAAGAGCAGAGGGAGAACTTGAAGATCGTTGTTGGTCTCCTCCTGTTGGTCTCCAACATTGGTTACAGTTAACTCATGAAATAGAAAACAAAGCGTACATGAAAAAAAAAATAAGTGCCGAAAAACAACTTCAAAGTGCACGAGAAGCTGTAAGTTTGCATGAATTAGAATATTAATTTTTTAATTAAAAAAATTATCTTTTGTAGTGTGAAAAGTTAAGGAAAAAAAGATCAAGCCTTGTTGGTGCCTTTGTTTCAACTCATGGAAAATCAATCGATGAAGTTGATAAAAGTATTGTAGAAGCTAGAACGGCATTAAATGAAGTAACAGCAGAGTTACAAGAGCGAGTACATCGTTGGAAACAAATCGAGCTACTTTGTGGTTTTAACATTATAAATAATAATGGTCTATCTTATTTAGAAAATATGCTTTATAGAGGAGCGCCAAATGGTAGAAATCTTGGATTTAGAGGTACACCAAATGTAGTTTATAAAGATAGAAGTTGTTTAAATAAACATCTTAATAATTTATTAATACAGTTCATCTTATTCCAGGACGCCTTAGTAGCCAAGATGATTTGGATGACGATGTGAGCTCATTATATACACCATCTATCTCAGGTGCTGCAGGTAAGCAGGAATTGGACAACAATGACCACTCCAATTGACTGATTTTTGCTCGACTTCTTTTGTATACCTTCTTCCTATCTTTCCTCTAGTGAAGCTACTGCTTTTTTATACTATAAAGAATTTATATTCATCACACAGTGATAAACATTTGTCTTAACGATAAAAATTTTAAATCAATTCGTATTTTATAAACAAAAGAAATTACACAGCAGTGTTAAGTGATTTTTTATATTATAAATTGTATAAATAATTATATACTACAATATGAATCGTCCATTAAATAACGTGGATATCTTTTTTATTATAAAAATTACAATTGGACAATATTTGTACTTTTACAAAAGATTAATTTAATTTATTAAAAATTGATTTTTCATATATATATATAAATAAGAAATTTAATCCAGATTCGATATTTTATTTTTGAAAAGTTATTTGTTTTTTTCTATTACTAATGTATTTAAAGATAAAGAAGGCTATATAAACGTTAAAATATTTAACAAACTGCGCGATTTATTTATTAATTTATACACGTCCAGTTATCGACTTTGCAAGTATGTATTTGTAATAATAACTGAGATCAATAATTCCACATACATTTATTAGATTTACGTATTAAAAAAATTTTTAATGGTAAGTTAAATTTATATATAGTATACTTATATGGTATAAATATTGCAAGTCACTAGTGAATAAATATAAGACTTTAATGTCTTTAAATTTGTGCCTTAATTTGTGCATTTCCTACTTTTTGAAAATGAGATTACATAGGAAACCAAAACTTTGATACATTTTATTTTCAATTTTTGAATCTCTTTGATTTTAATAGTAAAAATATAAGGAATGCAAAGTTAATCTGAACTTTAAAATACTTACTTATAATAAAATATACTTCTTATTTTTCATAGATATTAGTATTTGTAAACATAGGCGTAAGTGATTGCATGAATTCCAAATTATTTTTGTTTATTGATCATTCACTATTGACAAAAAATGTATGAAATACTCAAAATAATGGACGTAAATTTAATTCTTACTAAAATAGTAATAATTAATCGTACTTACGGCATTCTTTACTTTTATGCCATTTCTTGCAATTTGCTACAAGACAAACTGGCTTAAGTCTAATTTAAATATTTGTATATTAAATTAAATTTGTCAAACTCGATTATAGATTTTATTCATTTGTACATGTACATATAAATATATACTTGTACAAATTATATAAAAAGAAAATTTTAAGAATGTATATAATAAGGCAATATACAAAAAGCGAATTTTAGTGAGCTTACGACTGTAGATTGTGATAGAACTTTTTGGAATAAAATTTTATTCGCTCAAACCGATGATGCGTGTTATAATATTATATATTTTGTATATGATATTGTAAACTGTAATTGCATTACAGGTACGACATATTTTTGGCGTACATATTCATACATTATATTTATTCATATGTATGTTATATTTGATTAATTATGTATATACATATATCTATTCTACAATTCATAAATTAATAAATTAATTTTTAAACTTACACGAATTAAGAAGAAAATTTGATTTTGTACATATAAATTACCTGCTTTGAGCAATTTAGAATCATATTTTAACAATGCTTTTAAACTCAATTGATTTTATATTACCAATTAAATGAATATTTAATAATACGCCATATCGTCATTTATTTACATATTATTTGCAATAATGATTATTATTTTAATTTCAAAAAACTACATTCACACATAATTACACACACTTATATATGATCGTATATATGCAAAATTACTGATTATTATCTTGCTATTTTTAACGTTTCCAATAACATGCATTATTAATTTAACAATATATTTCTTTCATCGCTTTAATAACTTCAATTACAATTAAATAATTGATTAATGCCTTGCAGTTGGTTTTTTATGTTTAACATTTTATTTATCGCATGATTTAACAAAATTACTTAATATAGAAAATAAATTAATCAAATAACGAAATGTTATATGCTAAAAATACCAATTTTTTTTTGTTTCTTTTGCGATTATAAGGAAAACAAAAATTAATTTATAATAAATTAAAAAAATATTTAAATCCATTTGAAAGTATAATGTTGCTCCTAAGAATAATACGAAGATGTAAAACATAATAAGCACGATATAAATTATTTTCGTAAAGAGAATATTAAAAATTCAAGTTTTAATATTATATTATATTATTTTTTTTTTTTTACAAGAATTCTTAATCGTTTCTCAATAATTTTACTCTCAATTCTAAAACAATTATATTATTTAACAATTATATTAATAATACAATTATATAATTAATTATTAAAATATTTAAATATTAGCTTATATTAGCTTAAATTATTTAAATATTATTATTTGCAACGGGTATAAACGATTTAATAATATGATTAAAATTTATAAGTGAAAATCGAATGTTTTAAAATCTTTAGGGATCGTTCTATTCATTGATATATATATATATAATTGATAGTTAATTTATATTTTTGTGGACTAACCTATGCTGAAACAGTTCCATTCAATCTCCTTGCTTTTACGTATATAATTAAATTTAAAATGTTTCGTCAACAATATTATTGTTTCAATACTTTTTTGGAACATTTATATAAAAATAATTTAAGTATAATAATAAATATAAATTAATTGTATAAAATTGTGAATCATAGCTTTATTAACTTATTATAGAATATTAAAATAATATATAATTTTTTTTGAATTTTATATTGTTATTAAATAGAATATAAATTTTTATGAGAAAAATTTCAACGAACAATTGAATTCTAGAATATTAAAACAAATTTAGAGCATATAATATTATTATTATTATAGATAATAAATCGATTGAAATTTTATTATTAAATATGTATACAATTGTTGATAATCAAATCCTCACTTTTATATATTCAACATTTTTCCATTCAACAGTTTCATCAATTAATACTCTATATTTTATTAAAATGAATTTTTCGTAATGTTAAAATAATGTATCTGAAATATAATTATTTGGAAAGTAAATTAGTAAAACATTTTATTTATACTTTCAATTGATTAATAGTGTAGTTTTTTTTATAACAGCGTAACCAATGTAAATTACAAGGAGATTTATTCAATGGAATATCTAGGTTCTTTTCGATCAAAATTTAAGGAAATTAATGATGCTGAATCTTCATCAATATTGATTACTGATCGATATATTTCAAGGAAAATATTAATCAAATGGACAACAAAAATGTTTACATCCAGGAGGAATTCTATCTAGGCATCCATTATATAATAATTAATCACAATAGAAGTATTTAATTTGACAGAATTAATATATTGCGACTTATTTTTATAAATAATTTATGTATATCAGCAGATTCTTTTACAATATAATATTATTAATATTATAAATTATTTAAATAATTGCCCTAATTTTTCAATTAATTATGAATTGATTAATAAAATTACATAATTTAAAATAGCTGGTATATTTTTTTTTGTATATCTAGGAATAATTTGCAATACAAGAATGATAGGTCAAGTACGTTATTATATAATGTATTATTTAAATTTAATATAGCCAATTAGTTAAGTGTCGTCTGTTCATTCAAATTTTTATGAATTTATCGATTAACAATTATTTTAATTTCTGTATGAATTATAAATAATGTAATAATAATCTAGGTGCGGTAATGTTGAATAATACCTGAAGAAATATATAGATTTATACCGTTTGTATAGATTTGCACCATTTGCGTATGAATTTTATTGTTTGCGTAAAAAGTACAGATTTTATCGGTAATTTTTCCGGCGCAAATCGCTGTAAAGTAACATAATAATTATACCTATTGTTACAATTTACAATGTTACAATACGAATAATTATACTAATAGCTATGCAATTTTTAATATAAAGAGCAAGTAACAATAGCCTTAATATCAGAATATTTTATAAAATATGAATTTATAAAATAATTAATACAGCCTTGTTTGTTGTTTAAAATTAGCGTTATATTGTATATTTTTTTTTAGTATCAACTAGTTTATCGAATTTGCTATATTTGTTTTATTGAATACTCACGTGATGTTTTAAGATTTCTACTAGCTTTACCCGAAGAAAAAAATACATATAATTCAATGAATAATAATGTTATGTAGGTTGCAATAAAAAAAAGAAGATAAAACGTTAAAGCGTGTTGTTGAATTGTCGTAAAATTGTATAGAACTAATATGCTATATAAATAGACGATTTGATGTTCGCAGGTATACCGGAAAACTTGCCCTGGAAGGAGTCATCAATACCCCTGGATTCGTCCAGCAGTGAGACGGGAAAAGACACACCACCAGAGACAGTGCACTTTACGTTGGGTGATGGGCCCGATGACGTCGGTGGTATCTCTTCAACATTCGTAATGTCTACTCCAACGACCGTGATCTCGCCGGCCTCGGTTTCAGCGACTTTGACAAGCTCAATGACGATTATGCCAAGGCAACTATCAACCTTCGATAGAATTCCCGAGGACAAAATGCTAAGTGGAAATATCATCAGATCTTACAGTCAGGATGCTAATTTAGCCCTCCACGAGGACAAGCAGGCCACTATGGGTGGGATCCCGACCACAACTACCTCATCATTCCTCACAAAAATATCTAATTCGGAAAACTCGTTGGAGACTGTGCCGAGTATGGAGAAGCTCGGCCGTTTTGGAAGCCTCAAAAAGTCTCTGCGAGAGCTTCCGACCGTTATGTCCGTTGACGAAGAAACCCTATCCACCGACTCAAACTCCACCGCCGACAATGACGAGTTAAAGCGCAGGCGTCGAAAACTGCAGTTTCCCGCTTTTCGCAAAAATAAGAACAAACCATCGTGATGCAGGGTGGTGTTGGAGCATGAGGTTCGGTTACTTAAGCGTTTTCTTGTTGACACGAACTTGAGTACATGAGAGAAAGAGAGAGAGAGAGAGAGAGAGAGAGAAGAGAGGGCCAATGAGCATGTGAATGAGTGAGAGAAAAAAAGAAACAGAGTGAAAGAGTGAGAGAGAGAGAGAGACGGAGAGAGAACGGGTGTGTGAGTGCGAGATAAAAAAAACAGCGTGTGGCCACTTGTGTGAACGCTAATCGAGAGAGAGAGAGAGAGAGAGACATCGATGAGTCAATTTTATGTGCAAAAGAAAGTGAGAGATGATTATACTCGAAGAGGATGACGAGTGAGTTATATCATACCTTGTAAGGAAAGGGCTAATGTGCAATCGTTCGTCGATCGGTGATATATGTAGCAATTTAGAATTGTTATTATATCGTAAAACTTAATGCTTACTTTCTTTTTGTCTTTCTTTTATCAGAAGAATTTTTTTATAAATGTTTTTAATTCATTTTAAATAATTGAAAGTACTTAAAATGATGGGCTTTACAAAAGATATAATTTTGTTTTATTAAATATCTTTTAATCACGATGCTATTATATAATTTAACCTGTATTTCAATACATTATTCAGGCTTTGAAAATTATTTGTAAGAACTAATATAGTAAAAACTGGTGATAAATTATAAATTAAAACTATAAACAATCGGTTTTATATATTTTTTTTTAATATTTAAAGCGAATATCGTTTAGACGATAATATATTTTCCGAAAAAATTTTTTTAACTTCAAATCGGCAGCGTTTATTGCGACGAAATTTCTACTTCTAATCTCCATGTTATGCAATGACGCTAAAGCTAACGACAGTGGATTAATTGATTTTCATTTTTCGTTAATAATATGAAACGTAAAATTAAAAAGTTTGTGCAAGTTTGTTGTCAGAAATGATATTTAGATAAAACTACGTAAAAGGATTGATACATCGTGCTGGAGGCTTATGTAGATATTAGATAAATAATTTTAATGCAAATTGAAAGAATAGCCTGAGGTTGCTTAAAAAGGGATGGTAATCGTCATTTTAAAAAGCAAAAAACATGTTTGAGGATGCAATTCATATTATTCAAACATTTTAAATATAAATCTAAATACAAAATTAATTACAATTTTCCAAATTGCACGAACTTGTATTAAATGAAAGTACGGATTTATATTATGTGTTAAAAAAGCTCTAGTATGTATTTTTTTTATTGTCTAATTTAATTTCTTTTAAAAACTGATGTCACTAAAAGATTCTCTTAGTTATTTAACTTTACCCTTTTCATATTATTATTATTATTATTATTATTATTATTATTATTATTATTATTAATTGTTATTAATAATAATAATAATTATTATGCTTAATGTATTTCATTTTTAGAAACAATATTAAATATTATTTCATTTACTTAATGTAAAACAGCTAATATTATTACAATTGTATTTATCAAAATTTTACTTCCATCTTAATGCTTGTATAGTAAATTTGAAAGGTTCTAAAATAATCGTGATTATTCTAATTAATTAATATCAATTTAAAAGATAGCTTTTCTTAAATTGTTTAAATTCGAATAAGTATAATAATAAATTAATATTTATGAAACTTTTGACGTTAAAGATAATTTGACTGTATCGTTTGGATTGAAAATTATTTCAGAATACTTTTTTCTTTATATTTTTTTGCTTAAGTTCTTACTCAAATCTGTAAATAGTTTTATTAAATTTAGTTATTGTACAGTACTTATTATTATTATAAGACTTAGATTAAATTACAGATCTAATTACAATTATTTTTATTATCTTTTTGCAAAATAGCAATTTTAAATACTAATTTTGGAACGCCACTTAATGGATCGAATTTTCAAAAGAAAACAATACGTAATTAATGTTAAAGTAGAACGAAACTTTAGATCCGTCCATAAATAATTAATAATCAATAAAAAATTGGCAATAAAAGTAATTTCATTCCAAATTGATTTTATAATATTTATTAATTATTATTGTAATGAGAATTTTAAAAAGGGTAAGAGATTATATGTAAAATTGGCTTGTACTGTTGCCTTATAATACTTAACAAGATATGTATGGTATCTTAGTTTTTCTGCCAAACAATTATATTCTGTTTTCCGTTTCATTATTCTAATATTATTTCGTTTAGCTTAATGATAAATATTTTCGATATAATTGAGAAGGAAGAAAAATCAGGAATAAAAATTGTCAAATGTTAATGTAAATCGAATGCATTCGTAATCAAAATCATTTTCTGTTCACATGGATTTATATAAATAATCATTATGGTCAATTTAATATTTTCATTGTAGAACGTCACGTATAATAGTTTCGATAAAATCCTAAAAACATGTCAGAAGACAGATGATTAGTATGTATGAAATTTATTATTACACTTTCTTATATCGACATGTAAATAGACTTAGCGAGATAAAAAGATAAGGTTAAAATTGTCTGGAACAATTTTTGTGTTAATATGCATAGTTAGAATTACGACAAAATTATCTATAAAATAGACATAATAGAAATAATAATAAAGAATAATTTAAAGTTGTATAATTAAAATATGCAAACATTATAATTTTCGATAATGAGCAAATAGTTTTTTATCCATCCTCGATTTTTGCTTTTTTTTATTAGATATTGAATATATAATAAATTTTATTGCATTATTATTATTATTATTATTATTATTATTATTATTATTATTATTATTATTATTATTAGTAGTAGTAGTAGTAGTACATGTAGTAGTATGATTATTCTGATGATGATGATTAATATTATTATTAGAGATATAGTTTTTGCAAAGTGAACAAAATTTGTGCAGACAATTACATGTAATAATAATAGTAATGTATATATTTAAGGGTACATGCATATACCTTTAATATTTTAATTATATGCATTAATAAATCACAGAAAAATTGAGCAAACATTTATATTACAAAAACAGATAGAAGTATTATCAAAATGAATGATTAATTAAAATATTATTAAAAATATTCAAATGATAGGTTCTCAAATTCAAATAGTATTTTAAAATTTTCATCACACACTACACAAGTACAATTTATTAATATTGACGTTAAGTACACCTCTAAACAAATAATATAATGATTTTATTAAAAAACTTTACTTTCCGTTATATTAATTACTTATTTTAATGCTTCCATATATAGAAACTAAAAGAATAATAGATTATTTAAAATAAGAGTAATAATATATATATTTGCTAAGTTTAAAAAAATTAGATTATTGACTACGATTCATTACCATAAAGAACTGTTAGATATAAAAGATAATCCTTTATAAATCAAATCTTGATTAAAAGAAGATTAAAAAATAAAATTTTGATTGTACAGAATTTTATGTAAACATAATTATTTTAAAAATAGTTTTTTAATGTTTAGAAGAAACTTTTTTGACTTGATAATATTAATAATTTGTTGATAAAGTAATTGATATAGGAATGCCCGAAATCGAAAATTATTACTATTCGAATAATACAATACTATTGGTTTAACTATTCCATTTATAATTAGTTATAATTATACTTATTTTTATCAAAATTACAGAAAATATTTTTACCATTATTCGACATTAATAATATTACACCGTCATTCGCATATAATTTACGAATATGTTCTTATTGATTTCAGCGTTAATTATAGTCTTCCTTAATAATGTAATAACATAAATAAAAAAATTAAACTTTTTCAAAATGAAGAACTGCATACTTTGTTTTTTTTCGATTTATTTTATCAATCGATTATTAAAATAAAAGAAATTCCTTACTTTGGATCGTGTTGATAAGAGTGCGAGAAAAGGAATTGTTTTAATTTCCATTGTATTTTATCTGTACTTTTGGTTATTATTCTATTTTGAAAATTAAACGCAAACGTGCATTTTTATGATTTCGACATGTAGATTAATTAGTACAATTCACTTAACTTGCATTTTTGCAATATTGTATGGTATAATTAAATAAAATAATTGCACATTATATAATTTATATCGTACATAATAATCACTTTTTAACATATGGAACTTTTCAGCTAAAGTTTTACAAGTTTTATTTGTTAAAATACCTTTGAATGTCATTCAATACTTTAATCACAGTTTATAATTATGTAAATACGTTTTTCTTTTCATTTTGTAGAATGGCAAAATGTGCAAAATATCTATCTTAATTAATATTGATGTAATGCAGGATAAGATAGAATATATGTTTATCTTAGAAGTATTTCGACATAGAATGTTCATTATTTGTTGATAAAGTAAGGACTAGATTTAAAAAATTTCATTACTCGTGTTAATTATAAATGACAAAAAGATTTTTTTTTTTAACAATCTACAATGAATCAATGCTTGCTATATATATATATATATATTTTTTACTATTCCTTATTCTTAGATATTTTGATTTGATAAATTTACATTAATTATTTTGAGGAATTTATCAATGTTTGATTGTAATTATGTAATAAATTTAAAATTAATTTTACTTTGAAAAATTATTTGATGCGAGGGATAAATTCCATGCATATAGTTTTTTGTTTTGTTTTTGTTTTTGTTTTTTTTTGTTTGTTTTAATATTTTATTATCTAAAGAAAAAATTAAGTTAGTTAAAATTTTATAACAAACAGGATAAAAAATAAAAAAATTTTTCATTATTACTATAAAATAAATGACATACTATATTGAAGCGTCAAGTTGAAATTATTGTGAATTTTCTAGATACATAATCCATAACAATAAAATTTGTCAAATAAACATAATTTGAAGATTTTAATTATATCAATTAAATATTTTAATCTGGGCGAATCAATTACTTTAACTGTCGCGTATCTGTCGTGATATCAATTACTTTACTTTTCAATCTATTTTTTCAATTATATAACAAAGAATGCACAAAAACGTTTTTATGACATACACGGAATATTCGAAATAGAAGACCCGACGCTTTCAATTTCTATTGATCTATCCGTCATGTTGATCTCGACTTATGTCATCGTATCTCTCATAAAACAA